GGGGGCCGGGCAAAGAGGGGGGGCACCAGCCCCCCCCCCCCCCCCGATTTCTGCTCTAAACCTGCTGCTGGTGATACCTGGGCAGGTCCAGTGCACTGTGCAGCCCCCCCCCCAGCAGTCATCTCACCAATCTTCCCCCTTGATTGTCCTGCAGAGATGTGAGATGTGGTTTTGGTGGCGAGTCCGGAGAGGAGGATCCACAGCAGATGAGCCCCGTGCCTCCCCGACGCACCCTCTGCTCCTGTGCCCCCGCCACCCACCACCCACGTAGGCGACAGCTCTCCCGTGCCACACTGCTCCGCGCCGGGGAAGGGCAGTGCTGGCCGCAAGCGGGGACTGATCCGGCAATGGGACGGGCAGCTGGGCTGTGATGGTGGCTGGGCCTTGCTCTGCTCCTGCGTGCAGGGCAGGACTCTGCCAGCATGAGATGGGACGAGCTCTCGCTGGGGGCACCAGGCTTTGCCCTACAAGGGGGGGCTGGCAGCTCTTGTGACCGAGTGGGTTTGGGGGGGGGGGGTCTATGCTGCTGTTGAAGCCAGAGGAGAAACCCTGGATGATTTTTAGGGAAGATCTGCTTTCAGCACATCAGTGAGACCTTGCTGTCCCCTCCTGGGACAGGAAAATCTGTTCCCGCAGCAGCGTCTGTGGCAGGCAGTGACAACCGCTGCTGGCCTTTCGCTTGGCACAGGTAGCCTCAGATAAGGCCCCTGCCTGCACCCCGAGTGCCTCTGCCCTGACTGCTGCTGTAAATACTGTAAAAAGGATGTTAAACGCTGTACAGGGGGGATGTGTTTTTATAAACGGGATTTTAAGTCTCTGTGCTTGTCTGTGTGTGTGTGTCCAGGCTTTTCCCATGGGCTCCTCTCTTCTCCGCAGCTGCCTGCAGGGGTGGGAGCAGGCATGCCTCTGCTGTGCCCTAGCCCTGGGGTTGCCAGCCAGTGGGGCATCAGAGAGATGGGGGGGGGGGGCAGAGGCCTCAGGGAAGCAAATTAAGCAGCATTTGTCTGCCTGAAGGGGGGTAGGGGACCCCCTGGTCCTCCCTGCCTGCGGCAGAGCATGAGGCAAGCTGGGCTACCCTCTGCCTGCGGCTGCTGTGCTCTGAGCTCTGACCCTGCCAGCAGGGATGGATGGACAGACAGAGGGAGGGAGCCGGGTCTGCTTGGGGGGGACATTAGTGAAGCTCCCTGCGTTGTGTCCCCAGGACTCAAACCCTCCTACTGCCTTGTGAGCCCCTGGGAAAATGCCCTACCTGGTTGGGGCAAACCCTTGTCTGTGAGCTTGGGTCTCCCTGGAGGAATCCCAGGAGCCGGCAGGGAGCCTGGCTGCTGGATCCAGCCTGCCTGGTGGCCCTGACCCTGCTGGGGGGGGAAGAGGAGGGCTGGAGCCACGCAGCCATGGCGGGGGCTCATCAGGAGCTGCAGGGTGGGTAAAATGGCCATGGCGGCTGCTTGGACATCCCTTCACACGGGGGCTGGCTCTTGGACAGCGTGGGGGTGGGAGAGGAGGGCAGCATCCATCCCTTTCCACCTCCCTCTGTTAGGGGGGATGAGCCACTGCCCCCTCCTCTCGCTCCGGTGGGAGGAGGCCCTGGGGACCTGTTCCTGGGGTGGTGTGGGACCTGCTCTGCTCCTGTTGATACTCTCTTTTGAAAAGCCACCTACTTTACCCTAAAGATGCATTACAGGGAGTTATTTCTTGCTTGGCCTAAAGAAACGAGAGGCGAACAAAGTCTCTTGCTGCAGAGCCAGGTTTGCAGCTGTGGGTGGTTCCTAATGTGCTCCAAAAAGACAGGGGTGGGTGATGCTGCCCACAGACACTGCTCTGGGGGTCCCGCTTCCTAACGGACGTGCCCTGGGGACGCTTCCTCTGGTTATTGCCGCTTGCAGCAACCCCAGGAACATAGATCCCGGGGGATGTGGGTTTGCAGCCCCTCTCCTGTGGGTGGTGTGGGGGGACTCCCCGCCTGGCTGGGTCCCTGCCGGGTGAGTGGCTCGGTGGGGCAGGCAGAATGTGCTGCCGATGGGCGAACGGACCTGGAGGGAAGCTGAGCTTGGAGTGAGATTCGGCAGTTGTGAGGGATGCTCAGTCTCACCCCTGGGTTTCCTTTCCCCAGAAGCTGCCCCGTGAGCAGTGGGAGGACCGGGAGGAGCTCAGGGGAAAGGAGGAACGTGGGGCTCTGCTGGTCTCTGGGCTGGCAGTGCTGCCCTTCCTTCCCTGTGATGTCCGTGTGGCGCAGGGCCACGTGTGGCTCTGTTGCAACTGTCTGAGCAGGAAACGAGGCGGTTTTAGCTTCTTCCCTCACCCCTTGGTTCATGGGGTGCTGGTCAGGAGGATATTGGTCATCTAATCTGCCAGCCTGGGGCTTAGCGCTGCCACAGAAGTCTGCTGAACACACGTTAATCCTGCAAACTCAGGCGCTCGGGAGTGTGGTGGAAGCTTCTGAGCAGCCCCAGCAGAGCCCTGCGCAGGGCAGGTCACACACGGTGACACTTTCTGCCATCGCTCTCCCCATGCTGGGTGACGTGGCCGCTGATCTGCCTCCCAAACAGACCCCCCCGGCCCCATTGAGGGGCAGCCAGAGGATGGGGGTGGGAGCAGTGCGGTGGGGCCGGGGGCGGCAGTGATGCTTGGAGATGTGGCTGGTGATGCTCGGCTGCGCCACAGGGGCCAGAGCACCCCGCTCTGGGGGGAATCTCAGCCCACATCAATGGGACCAGGGCAGCAGGAGCTGTGGGGACTGTCCCTGACGTGCACACTGGTGATGGCAGCAAAGCCAGTGTCAGTCAGGACATTTCTTTTTTTTTCCCCTCTGAGTCATTGCACGCAGGCGTTTTGCCCTTGCAATCTAGCTCTGACTCCTGTATTTATTCCACCCACAGTCCCTTTCTGCCTCTGGGTATCACAAGCACCATACCAGCCTGTGTGGGAAGGGGATTTTTTTTTTAAGACACCACCCCCGGCCCACCCAACAGCGTGGTCTCTGGCTGGGTCACGGCGATGCTCGGTGCGGGGCTGGGGAATCCCATGCCGTCGCCTTCCCTGGGTGCCGCTCGCCAGCTCGCACCAGTGCGGCGTCTGCAAACGTTGCTAAGCAGCTGCAGACATAAATACTTTCAAGCCCCAAATCTGCTGCAGCTGATACATCCCCTGCAGCAAAATAACAGACTCGGCGAAGTTCCAGAGGGGTTGTTTGTTGTGGGGGTTGCCAGGAGAGGGGTTTGGGTTTCACCCCAGGTTTCCTCCAGCCCCTCGAATCGGGCAGGCTACGTGGGTGCTGCCTGCGCCATGAGGCTGAGCTGTCCTGCGTTGCTCAGGATCCTCTCCAGGGCTCGTGGTACCTCCTGCGCCCAATGTTATAGCTGTCAGCAGCTGCTTGGGTTGGTGCTGGGAGGACGGTGGACCTGGCACTGGGCACCCCACAGTGCCAGTGATACATGTGGGTGGCGGGGTGACATGGGACCTAATGCCAGCGCTGTCCTGCCCAGCCTGCACCCACAACAGCAGCAATGGCGATGCTCAGCCTAAACCCCAGGGACGGTCTCATACACATCGCTGCAAGCAGACCCCCTTTGGGCACAGGGGCTCCAGCAGGTCCTCTAGGGACCCTGGGCAGGGACTGGGGACACACCTGGGCGGCAGAGTGCCACTGAGATGGGGGCTATGGCATCCACTGGGGGGGGGACAGTTGTCCAAGGGCTGTTTGTGCAGCCTGGGGGGACCACAGTCGACCGGCCACGCTCACGGGGTGGCTGAAAACCCAAGAGCAGGGAGGGCTGAGGCTGACCAAGGCGCTCAGTGTGGAGAGCTGGATGGCCCCTGTGTGCACGTGCGGTGCAGGTGCTGCAAAAATAATCAGCGTGAACGAGCACGTCCTGCAACATGTCAGTTCCTCCCCTGGGGCCCTCTTTGCTCAGCAGTTTGGAGGAGGCTGGACCAGGGCCAAGGAGCCACAGGGGCAGGCTGGACTTCGTGTGGGGCTCTGCAAAGAGTCTTGAGAGCGCTTTGGACCTTCCAGGGTGGGAATCCACCCTCTGGAGGCACCAGGAGCTAAGGGTACTGGAGGAGCGAGGGATGGGCAGCCCCTGAGCAGCACTGCCCATGGGATGCTGCAGCCCCCAGCATCAGCTGGGAGCTGCTGGTCCAGGCTGGTCGGGATGCAGGCATCAGAGAGCAGGGAAAGTGGGCTGCAGCCCCCCCCATCCCACCACGGTCAGTGCAGACAAAACCCAGCCCCAGCCAGGCTGGAGCAGGGACGTGGTATCTGCATGGGGCCACCTCCAAGGCTGCCACTGCTTCCAGCCATGCGTTCGCCGCCCCGAATTCTGCTGCCTGCTAACTGCTTGCTTGTTTTCTTAGAAGCGAGAGCAGCGCACGCGGGGCTGCCGAGGGACGGGAAGTGGCTAACCGGAGCCAAGGCAACTGCACAGGCCTCCTGCCTGCACCTTTTTCTTCAAGCCCAGCTGCAAACCCAGCCTCTCCAGAAACAGTGGTGGTTATTTACTAGCAGAGCAGGCACTACTCCAGCAGTAGGTCCCATACGCTCTTTTCATAGCGTCTTCGGTAAGCCCCCTTCTCCAGGCTGGAAGCATTCACCTCCAGCTGTGATGCCAGATCTCTTTGCGTCCTGGGGACCCGAACAGCCAGGCTGTGGCATGGAGGTGAGACATTTAGCAAAAGTGGCCACACAGAGGCTAGCTGGCAACCAGCTATCTCCCTCCCTTGCTGCACAGAGGGCAGCCGGAAACCTCCCTGGTGGCCACCACCAAAGAGACCACCTCTGGGCAGATGTTGCTTGTGCCTCCTTGTGTTCTTCCTCCCTCAGGAAGAAGGGATGGGGTGCCTTTTGCTGGATGGAGGTGTCCTTCAAGACTTATGGGGAGGCAGGACAAGCACGCACATATCAGGGCTTCTGTCTGTGCACAGAGGCTGATGGAGCGGGACACGGTCCCTCAGCCTGCCCTGGCTTGATGTTCTGACCTCCCCAGCCTCTGTGGGTGTAAAAAGAGTCACCAGAGTTCCCCTAAAGAAATTACAGGTTGAATTTCCTTCATCACACCCCACTGACTGGGTTAGCCCTGAGAAAGGCACGAGGTGAGGTGTTTCTTCACTAAAATACCATGGCAAAGAGCTGTTGCTCTTGCTGAGCTTAAAACCTAGTAGCAAGAGGGGCTCGACATCTAACTGCAGAAAGATTTGGGTCAGGACCTCAGTAGTCCCACCAAAAGTTCTTCATCCTCATGTAACCATGGCTCTCCGGTCCTCTCCCGAGTGCTGAGCTCCGCCAGCTCCAGCTGGGGTTTCTCCTCCAGCAACCAGGAGGACACTCGTGTGGTGCTGCCCAGGGCTGTGTGTGCTTGGGGACGCCTGTGCCACGCTGCATTTCAGAGGGGAACCACATCCTTCTGGGGAAGGGAAGTCCCTGGCTGCCCAGACAGCCTGGCTGTGGTGATGCAAGAGGCTCTAACTATTTTGGGAGATAACCTAAGCCTGGGGATGCCGTCTGCTGCTTCCTTTCTTTCCTGACAAGCCCTCTCATGTGTTTTGAGGGGAGATCTTTCCACATTTATGGGAAAGGAGAAGTAGGACCCTTGCACGTCCTGACTTAAAAGCATATTTTCCAGTATGCTTTTTGGCTGGAGGTAGAGAGTGGGGGGGGGGGGGGGCCGGGCAGGCACAGCTCTCATTGTAGTTCACATTTCCCCCCCAAAAGCCCAGCTCATCTCTCCTCACCAGCCCAGACCCCAGCTCATCCCATGCTGGTTTGAGGGTGTGAGATTCCCCCCTCCCAGGGCTGGCCGGCTGGCAGCAGTGAGGGGAGCGCCCCTGGGGGTCCCATCCTGGGGGGAGCGGGAAGGAGCACCGGCTCTGCGGGACCTGACCGTGAGCTGCATCCCTGCTCCAACCAGTGCCTGAAGGACCACCCCAGTGTGAATCCCTTCAGTGCTCAAATTCATCCCCGCAGCGCACAGTGGGATGCTGGCTCCAACCCGCGTCCCTCCAGGCTGCAGAGAGTACTGGTGTCAACCAGAGCTGTGGGTCTTGCTCCTGCTTTACACCCTCCGCTCTGATTTCCACCACCAGTACCCTAAGGAAACCCCAAGGATGTTCCCCACCTCTGGGTGCCTCGGGGCAGCCCCTGGGAAGGTCAACAGTGACCTGGCAGTCCATGGAGACAGCATGCTATCCTTAAGAGCTGCCAGGGCAGGCAATGGGCCAGGTTTGTCCAGGGTGGCCTGGAGGCTTGTGCCTGCAGACCAGGCTGCAGAAGAGGGCTGGGAGGTTTCCTCAGCAGTGGTGCAACTGTGGTCAGTGTGGAGTGGGTGCTTTCCCCCCCAGGGATGCCAGCATCCCCGGATGAGAGGAGACAAGCTTCTCCAGGTCCTTGCTGAGGTTTCACCCAGATGGAGACCGAGGTGGGTGCCTGCAATCAGAGGGATTTTGTGGTGGTTTTTTTTTTCCCCCTGGCTGCTGTTCCCCACTCAACCCCCACCTCCTGCTCGTCCATAGCGAACTGGGCTCTGACTTCATCCCCCAGGTATCCAAAGAGACAATGCTGGCGGTGGCGGCCAGCACGGCATCCTGTCCCCTCGCCTGCCCGGGTCACTTCCCGGGATTGTTCTGTTCTGCTCGGACAGGGGCTGGCCACTGGCTGTCCCTGGGGACGGGGAACTGATGAGCTTCACGTGCTTCTTGGCCAGCGGTATTTCATTCGGTGGCAGAGCACGTCTGGGGCACGGGATGACGGCAGGGAAAGGTTATCCTGCCTCTCCAGGTTTTCTCCTGCCGCCTTTCCCTCTGCTTCGTTAGGAGCTGCCTTCCTGCTGTCCCCACCAGCAGCAACGTTGGGCAGCCCCGGACTGTGGGGCAGGAGCCCGATTTCCATCCCAGCCAAAACCCTTTGGCTGACGTAGCTGAGACCGGCCCAGGTTGGGGCAAGCTCAAGGGAGAACAGAGGAACACAGCTGATCTGGGCCAGGGCTCCCTGCTGGCTTAGCTGGCATTAACCTCATAATTAAACTCATTAAACTAATACCAGGAGGGTCCAGCCCTTTGTCACCATTCCTTGGCACCAAGCCTGCATTCAAGCAGGGGGCTAAGCCTGCAAATAACACTCCTCAACATAATCACCCCTGATTTTCTGCACCCAGAGGCTAGCAGTCTATTCATGAAATGATCTTTGGACTTGAAATATCTTTTTTTTTTTTCCCTTGTAATTCTTTATGCTTTGGTTAGCATGATGCCCAGCCACATGCTCCTTTCCTTACTGTGTCCCATGAGTTTTTGCATCCTGCCTGCACTACTGCTGTAGGGCATGTTTAAAGTTCACCTTTTTTCCCATTTTGCTGTGATATTTGCTTTTTCTGGGGGTGTGTTCCTTGCTATCTGTTGGCTTCCAGTTGCGTGCTGGCTGTCAGTACTTGTAAGGCCGATGCTGGGTAGATATTGGAGGTAGCCACTGAAGGCAAATATCAGGTGGATGAAGCAGCAGCATCCTCCCTGCAGCCTCACGTGGTCCAGAGCATCCCCATCCTTCTGCCCCACCTGGGTCAGCAGCTCCATCCCAGCACGGTCGCGTCGTGGGGTTGGAAGAGAAGCCAGTTGCTTCCTTTCTGAGGATCACCTCTGTCTTTACAGGGTACCCCAGGAGGGTACGGGGCCGAGCTCTCTGTTAGCAGCAGGATGAGGCCGTGCCTTCTGCAGGCAGCAGCGGCAGGCTGCACCCATCACTGGGACCTCTCTCTGGGTGCGCTCTCCAGGTGGGGTGCCAGATCCAGGGTGTCCCAGAGCATGGCAGGGATGGCTCCCAAAGCACCCAGTGCTTTGGACTGGGGTCTGCTGGGATGAGGTGGGTGGGGAGACAAGGAAACTGCAGCGGCACGGGAGGCAAAGGGCAGCAGGTTTGTCACAAAACAATGCCAAGGGGCAAACCAGGGGCTGTGCAGGTGAGGTGGTGGGACGCTGGATGCTCCCAGCTCCGTTCCCCCTGCCACGGCCACGTGTTTCCAGCTTCTGCTATTTCAGGGCTTCCTGTTTCCCTGAACTGAGCAGCTTCCCAGCAAGCTGGGGACAAGGCAGGCAGCTCTGGGGCTGGCCCTGCCTTTATGTGATGGGTCTGACTTTCACATTCAGCCGGGGGATTTTTTTTTCTTACTTCTGGTGAAGCTCCTGGGCAAGCGGCATAGAAAACAATGGGCAGGAAATCAGGGATGGGGTCTGCCTTCCCAGTCCCTGCAGCTCTGCCCGTGGAGTGTCTGCAAGTACCTCCAGGTCTGAGTTTCTCTTCCTAAAGCTCCTCCACAGAGCAGCCCAGTCACCGCAGCAGCGCTTGTCACTGTCGGGACGAGTGGGACAGCGGTGGAGTGGAGCAGAACCCTCTCCTTCCCTCTCTTCCCCAGCCCCACAGCCCTGCTCCTCCCTCACAAAGACCATTGCTTTGCAGAAAGTCTGTTTTCTGCCGAGGTTTTCAAGTTGCACCTCCCCAACCTGTTTGTTTCTGATTCTTCCAGGCCTTTGCATGCTATGCAAATGTGAAAAAAAATGTTGATTTTACAGGAGAAAAAAAAGTTGTTCATTTAATGGGAAAATGGTGGAGGTCACAGTCCCGCAGGAGCTGGACATGGGGCTGCTCTGGGGAGTCCTGAGGGCAAGGACCAACTCTGTGGGGCACACAGGATTTCCCAGATCTGGGGACAGTAACTTGGAGAAGGGGACCAGAAAGGGATCAAACCAGCAAGCAGGGCAGGAGAGACCCACTCGCTGCTGCCATGTGTGCTGGCAGGACACGGGTTCTCACCATCCCTAGGGAGGGACGTGTTGCCTGCCTGCCTCTCTCCATCAGCCCTGATGCCTGGAGCACGGAGTGGGGAGGAAGGTGGAAGGCCAAATCCAGTAGCCCCTGCTCCTGCTCCTGCTCCTGGAGGTGGGCTGAGAGCACAGCCCAGCTCCGTGCATGTCTAAAGGGTGGGAGCACCACACTGTACACAAGGACGCGGTGGGGCTGGCTGCATCCAGCAGAACTGCCTGGGGCTGAGGCCAGAGGAGCTGGGGCTCATTTCTTGGCATTAATCCCCTGGGGAGCCTGGATGAGCTATGTCATCACAGAGATCAGATGAACTTTATCTTTGCTTGATCAGGACTTGAGGCAGTGTCTTCCTCTTCTAAAGGATCTTCACTTCCATGGCATGATGCTGGTGCCATCTTCTAGGGTCACCGTTATGGTAAAACTAAGATGTCTCTTCTCCCACGTCCTGAAAACGGGAACGTTGCCAGCCCCACTGTGACGTTCACCCTCCTTGCTACCTCTCCTGGTGGGACACAGGAGGTCTGAGGGTAACAGGGCATTGGTGAAGCCTTTCAATGAAGAGATGTAGGGCCATCTTCCCACGTGCCATCTGAGGAGACGTTCCTTAGGGAAGCGAGCACATCTGTGCAGCATCTGTGCATCTCCATCCGAGCTGGAGCTGGGAGCTCGCAGAGACTCCCCAGCTCAGTGAACCGCTGTTCCTGGGACAAGGGAAGAGCCAGGGGCTTGGATCCTGCCCTGCCCTGGTCCTCTCATGCCTGCAGGGCTGTCTACTGCCAGACTCAGCCTCAGGAATGAGACAGATCCTTGGTCCTCTTCCAGCAGCATCATCCCACCGCGTCCTCAGCACGGCTCCGTGCTTTTCTGGGTTGTCTCCCAGCAGGGACCGGCCACGCTTCCAGGCCCAGAGAATAAACTAGCCAGATTTTGAGCCAGTCTCCATCGGAGGAGGAGGTCCAAGGCCACCAAGGGATACCCAGGGAGCTCAAGCACGGTGCTCCTGGCTGGCGGTGGGCTCTGCCTGGCCGGGCAGCTCCTGCCCGCACCATTGCTGCCCTCTAGTGCTGCCAGTATCCCCACTACTGCCTGTCCCCAGGCTAACTGGTGGGACTGGTGATAGACTGGGAGGTGGGCTCTGATGGTGGGGCTGCATTGGTGGGCGCTGGCTCCTTCTGGGGGCATGACCCATAACTGCCCCAGCTGCTGCTCCGAGGAGCTTAGTGCTGCTGAGGATGTTCATGTGCTGAAGCCGGGGCGGGGAATCCCCATAAAGACTGCTACCTGTGAGTCCTCCATCAAAGTGCTTGGCCTATGGACACAGGTGGGAAGAAGGGAAACTGAGGCACTGTGGCTCTCCCTCCTCCCCAGCTCACGCAGCAGCTCAGTGCTCTGTTCTGATGGTGCCCCCAGTTTGGCATGAGGGGGTTTACGGGGAGGGTTCAGGCAGAGACCAGTGGGTGCAGCCAAACCTGGGGGGGTCTGGGCTGGGGGGGAGCTGGGTTTAGCCCCCAGAGCCCTGAGGTGCCCATCTGGTGGGGCTTGGGTGGGGAGAAGTGGAGGGGTGCTGGGTTTAGGATGGTTTTAGGACTGCCTTTTCTCTTCCAGACTTGTCCGCTTTGGGGGACGGGAGGGATGGAGCCTTCTGGGGAAGCAGGGAGAACCACCAGCCCCTCCCCTCTGCCCTGGCTCAGGGGGTCCGGTGCTGGCCTGGGGCAGGCTGTTGTCAGTGGGGTTGTCCTCTGCGGCCATGCCACAAGCCAGAGCAGACCTTGGGTAAAAAGCTGTGTTTTCCCGACATCGAGCCCTTGTTTTAAACCCACCTGTCTTCCGTCTTATGTATTTTCTGCCCCAGTGGACCCTCCCTGGGTCCGGCCGGCTCCCCTTCAGCATGGCACGGAAAGCAGGGATGGGGGCACCGAGGCAAGCGAGCTGGTGCCAAGGGACAGGTTGTCTGCGAGTCACGGAAAGCACTAACATCTTTTGTGAGTATTTAATTAATTGGGAGGGACAAGTATTCCTGGAGCTGGAAACTTTCCCATTCCTGTGGGCATTTTCCCACAGGCTTCCCATCACAGTCAGACTTCGGGGGGCTGGAAAGTGCCCCTTCATGTATAAGGATGTGTTCTCCAGCTGGCGGTGTTTAGGGAGAGAAACTCCTCCGTGTCCCCCCAACTCCGCCGCGGTGGCCAGGGGGAAGGGTGGGCGAGGGAAGGAGGGACACTTATTTTTAAGACCAGGTGAAAAACATCCCCCCACAAGCAGTTTGGCAGCAGCGATGTCCCAGCCTGGGGTTGGGTGGTGTCGCATGAGCTGAGGTCAGGGAAAAGCAAGAGATATTGGGGTCGGGTCCAGCCCTCCTCACCTATGGGGTGGGATTTTTCCCAAGGGTTTCAGCATGGGGGGGGTGTCCCAGTGGGGCTCATGGAGGAGGGCAGAGAATCTCGCCAGGACCCTTGGGACCCCCAGCCCAGCTGGGGGAGATGGGGGTGAGCAATAGGGGGGTTAGCAATGGGAAG